GACTATGCATATGGAAGTCCTCGGGGGGTTTTACACCTCGAGGAGTGTCAAAGTTTAATTAGCCTTGAAAATGGTCTCGAGCATTATGTTAATTTAAAATCTGCTAAACGTCGAGGAGTATTATCATCAAGGACAAATGTCTCGAGCACTAATGTTTTATGAATGTTTTTTCAAATGGATGGCCTGGGATAGGGACTTTATCATGTGGACTGGAGCCAACAATAAACATGTCTCGAGGACTTTGGCCCTCGAGGACGTGATCCCCATTTCGAGTGCAGGTTGGGTTTTGAGGTACTCGGTATACAGAGTGGTCAAGATTTTTACTTAGCATTATATTTATTTAAAAACGGCTTCGAGGTACATGCACGGAGCAGGGCCTAGAGTGCTTGCGCGGAGCAAGGCTTTGTAGTGTCTGCGGAGTAGGACTTTATGGTGCTTGCGCTGAGCAAGGTTTTGTAGTGCCTGCGCGGAGCAGGGCTTTGTATGCGTGCACGGAGCATGGCCCTATGCGAAACAGGTCTTTGTAGTGCCTGCGCGGAATAGGGCTTTGTATGCTTGCACGGAGTAAGGTTTTGTATTGCCCGTGCAGAGCGGGGCTTTGTGGACTTCACGTCTCAAGATGTAACTTTTATTGCAATATACTAAAAAAGGGTTGGTACATAGGCCTGACCACATAGAAAAACTTTTGGACTTGGCACGCAGGCAAAAAATAACTTTTGACTGACAATTGAAAATAAATCGATTGGCAACTAAAAATAAATTGACTGACAACTAAAAATAAACTGACTTGGCACGTAAGCCTGATACCATGATAAGGAAAGTTACTTGTAATATATTTTCAAGTTTTCGACGTTCCATGGCCTTGGCAGCGGTCTTCCCGATGTATCTCTTAGACTGTAAGCCCCTCCACGAATCTGTCATATGACTTCAAAAGGCCCCTCCCAGATGGGCCTAAGCTTTCCAGGTGCATGGCCAACTGCTTAAGCCCTTCTTAACACAAGGTCTCCTGCTCTAAACTTTCGGGGTCTCACCCTTCTGTTAAAGTGCTTTGCTATCTTGTCTTGGTAAGAACCTATTCTTAAGGAGGCCTATTCCCTCACTTCCTCGAGAAAGTCAAGATGCTCTGTTATGTGTTCCGAAGCCTCAAGCTTAAGCCTCCTTAGGCTAGGTATACTGCCTTCGACGAGGATCATGGTTTCGACGTCGAAGGCTAACATGAATGAAGTCTCATCGGTTGCGGTCTTGTGAGATGTTCTATAAGTCCAAAGTATCGAGGGTAGCTCATTTGACCATGTTCCTCTAGCATCACCAATCCTTGTGCAGAGGTCTTGTAGTATAATCCTATTTGTCACCTCGGCTAGACCATTGCTCTGTGGGTGCGAAACCGACGTTAGTCGATGGTCAATCCCAAGGTTTGTAGAAAAGTTCTTGAAGCGGGGATTGTCAAACTGCCAACCATTATCCGTTATGAGGACTTTTGGGATCCCGAACTGGCAAACAATATATTTCCACAAGAAGGTCCTCAACTTAGGCTCTAAAATGGTTGCTAAGGGTTCAACCTCTGCCCACTTGGTAAAGTATTCTGCTGTCACTGCTACGAACTTTAATTACCCCCTTGTGACCGGAAAGGGATCGAGGATGTCAACACCCCGTTGTTCAAACAGGGCCGGGATGCTGATATTAGTGAGATCCTCAATGGAGGAATGGATGATGTTGCCAAACCTCTGACACTTGTCACATCTCTTAACATAGTCCAGGGCATCTTTCCTCATGGTAGGCCAATAGTATCCATATCGCACAAGTTTGAAGGCAAGGGACCGAGCTCCTTGGTGGTTCCCGCACACTCCTTCATGGACTTCAACCAGGGCATGGGACGCCTTTGATGGCTTGAGGCATCTGAGGTATGAGAGTATGAAGCTTCTATGAAACAATACCCCCTAATCATGCAGTACCTTGGTGCCCAGGATCAAATACTCCTAGCTGCTCGTGGATCTTCCGGGAGGCTTCTGTTCGTTATGAAGTCTATTATTGGATCCATTCAAGATGGTTCGTGATCAATGTCTATGACATTGTTGGTTTGGCTGATATCGGGTTCTGTCAGAATCTTGATGTGTACATTCCTATACAATCCATCCACACCGATGAACACGAGCCTCGACAGTGCGTCAGCTTTGCAATTTTGTGCTCTATCAACCTTTACGACTTCACAAGTCTTAAACCGCCTCTGAAGATCATGAACATTTAGGCAATACAAGCTCATTTTCTCATCTTTCCTTTCAAATGAACCTTCGATTTGTCCAACCACGAGCTGGGAATCACTGAAGACTTTGATATGTTCGAGCTCAAGATTAAGAGCCAATTCCAGAGTGATGATGACTGCCTCATATTCCGCTTCATTGTTAGTGGCTTCAAATTTAAATCTGAAGGTGCACTGAATCTCCGTGCTCTTATCGGGGCTAATGATGATGACCCCGGCACCCGATCCCGAGGAGTTGGCTATCTCGTCCACGAAAATTTTCCAACAAGCCAAAGTGTCCCCTCCAGATCTGTCCTCTAGCCCCCGGGGCCTTGGTGTGAATTCTGCAATGAAGTCTGCTAGAGCTTGAGTCTTTATAGAAGGACGAGGTTTAAACTCAATATCAAATTCTCCTAGCTCAATATCCCATTTCAATAACATCTTGGAGACGTCGGGTTTCTGGAGTATGTGCTTGAGAGCCTGATTGGTGAGTACAACAATGGGATGTGACTGAAAATACTGTCGAAGCTTGCGAGCTATCGTTACCAAGGCAAGGGCAAGTTGCTCGGCCAACGTGTATTTGATTTCTGCGTCAAGCAATACTTTGCTCACATAATAAATTGGCTGTTGGGCCTTGTCAATCTCTTTTACCAGCACACCACTGACTGCATTCTGAGAAACGGCTAAGTATAAAAACAAGGTATCACCGGGCTCAGGTTTAGTTAGAATTGGCGGGGATGCTAATGTTTGTTTGAGCTCTTGAAAAGCTTTTTCACACTCATCATTCGAGTTGAAATTTCGATTGTCCATAAGGACCTTGAAGAAAGGAAAACACCTATTCGATGTCCGGGACATGAACCTGTTCAAGGCGACCACCCGACCTGTCAGCTTCTGAACTTCTTCCTATTCCTTGGTGATTCCATGGATGCTAAGGCATGTATCTTGTCTGGATTGGCCTCTATCCCCCTCTGAGTGATCATGAACCCCAAGAATTTTCCCGAAGCTACTCCGAATACACACTTTACTGGGTTAAGTTTCATCCTGTACTTTCGCAGGGTGCTGAAGACTTCCTCTAGATCGGATATATGCTGGCTTACTTGCTTACTTTTTACTACCATGTCATCGACATAGGCTTCATCATTTTTCCCGATTAGTTGGGCAAAGATCCTGTTGATGAGCTTTTGGTATGTTGTCCCCATGTTCTTTAAACCAAATGGCATGACCTTGTACAGTATATGGTTGAGTCTATCATGAAAGACGTCTTCTCTTGATCTTCTTCAGCCATAAGAATCTGATGGTAACCTGAGAATGTATCTAAGAAGCTATAAAATTTGTGCCCTACTGTGCCGTCCACAAGCCTGTCAATTCGAGGTAAGGGATAGCTATCCTTCGGGCAAGCCTTGTTGAGGTCTGTAAAATCAATGCAGACCTCCATTTTCCATTGGCCTTTTTCACCAAGACTACGTTGGCAAGCCATTCGGGATACTGGGCTTCCCTGATGAAACCCGCGCTGACAAGCTTATCTATTTCTTCACGAATGATCTCCCGTCTTTCTAGCTCAAACTGTCTCTTTCTTTGCTTCACAGGTTTGGCTCCTGGACTAATATTTAGCATGTGGATTGCAACACTTGAATCTATACCTGGCATGTCTTTTACTTTCCATGCAAAGACGTCAATGTTTCGAGCCAAGCAGCCAATTAGTTCCACCGCAAGACCTTCATCAAGGTCTCGACCAATGCTCACCTTTTTCCCAACCTCTAGCTTGACCTCCATTAATTTTTCCACAGGGGAGAGCCTGCCCCTGTGGTCGGGGTCGGGCTCGGCATCAGAAAGTTGCATGATGTCATTGCCTGTCCCCCGTAGGCTGGTATATAGCATTATCTGGTTGCATTCTGATCTCCATGTACCACTCCATGCCATGAACCTGTGGGAAACTTCATAACAAGGTGGAATGTGGATACGATCGCCCTGATCTTATTGAGCAATGGTCTACCTAGAATAGCGTTGTAAGCCATTGATGCATGAACCACCTGGAAAGGCGTGACTTCTGTCACTTACTTTGGATCCGTCCCTAAGGTAAGGGGTAACTCGATGACACCTTCTAAGACGATAACACCCCCACCGAATCCCCGCGGAGGAGTTTTCATAGGCTGTAACCGTTGAGCTGAAATTCTCATCTTACTGAAGGATTCGTGGGTCAAGATTTTTGCTGCACTTCCCTTGTCGATCAAGATCCTTTTTACCTCGAAGTTGGCAATAATTGCCGAAATAACTAAGGCATCATCATGAGGAAGGGACACGCCATCCATGTCTTTAGTTCCAAATGTAATGTCCTCTAGATGATCCTCGATAACTCCAGATGTCGAGGATTGCCGTCTTGCATATTGCTTTCCCCCCTTGTTTGAATCTCCTCCCGACGTAATGCCTCCAACAATGACGTTAATAGTCCCGACTGTTGGTTGGCGACTACCCCTGGTCTCCGGGGCTTTCTCCTTTTCGCGAGCATTCCTCGGGCATTTGTTACTACTAACATATGAACCGAGGAGTCCCCTTCTCACAAGTGCCTCAATCTCCCATTTCAAGGCTATGCAGTTCTCCGTGGTATGTCTATGATCTTTGTGAAAATCACAATATTGATTCCGGTCCCTGGTCTCCGGAGGTGATTTTATTTTAGGCAGCCATTGGAACTCTTTCATATCCTTTATTTCCATCAGTATGTTGGCTCTTGCAGTATTTAACTTGGTGAATGATGATGGCAGGGTTTCTAGCCTCTGCTTGTTCCGAGGGGCCTCTTGCCGTTGACTTGAGTCTGATGTCTCTTGTGCTCAATCCTTTCGTGGGTCGGGCCGACTCTCTTTGTATTCAACGTCTCCTCCATATTAATGTACTTCTCTCCTCTGGTCAAGAGCTTGGTTACTGACTTCGGAGGTGTTTTTGACAAGGACATCTTGAATGCCTCGCACCTTATAACATGAGTAAGAGTTGAGACGGCCGCGGTGATATGGAGATCGGGGATCTGCAACCTTTCTTTGTTGAACCTTGTCATGAAGTCACGGAGAGTCTCATTTTGTCCGTGGCGGAGTTGCATGAGGGAAGCCGCCGTCTTCCTGATGCGCTTGCTACTGGCAAAAAAGGCAGAGAACTTGTCGGCCAGGTCTGTGAATGAGGATATGGAGTTGGGTTCCAAGGTCGAGAACCAATCCCTGGCAGCGTTGGTCAATGTTTGAGGGAAAGCCTTACACATCACCTGGTTTGGAACGACTTGCAGATTCATGATGTCAGTATAAATGTTAAGATGGTTTATCGGATCAGTAGTCCCATCATACTCCTTGATGTGGGGATACTTGAATCTATCCGACAGGGAGAACGACAATATCTCGGGAGTCAAAGGAGTATTGGGGGTGAAGCCTGTTGTCCCCTTATCCTTTTGCTTTAGACCGACGGTTATACCCTCCTGGATGATTATAGCGAGTTAGTCGGAATCCATTGTTATTGCTCTCGAGGCCGAGCCCATGTCGGGTACACCCGAGGTTCCAGCTCCATCATAACCCGGAACTGGGTGTGGGGCTCAAGCCCGAGCATCTGCCATAAAAATCGCCTTCAGGAGTAGGCGTAGGTGTGGGGCTCGAGCCCGAGCATCCGCCATAAAACCGCCTTCAGGAGTCGGCGTATGTGTTGGGTATGAATTCCTCTGGCTTAACAACTGAGTGAGTGTAGCAACTTGTTGACGAAGCTCCTCAAAAGCCCTGACGGTAACAACGGCTTACTGGGGAGCTGGTATTTTTTATGACTCTTCGTGAGGAACAGGATGACCTTCTGGGGGTGGAGAAGGATTTGGGGTGGAAGAACTTGCTGGAGGAAGATCCGATCATGTATTTACCATGGCTTTTGGTAGCATTTCCTACAGACGGCGCCAATAATGTTACCAAAAATCGTACCTTGCGGATCCCGAGGATGATGACTGATAATGGACACAAACAAAGCCTTCCAAGTACCTGAAACAAAGGCAACGAGATGTGCGCTCGTCGCCCCTCCGATGCTTAAGTCAGAAAAGAGATTCAAAGATGAACATATGCTAAAATTTGTGTATGTAGAACGTACCTGAATAATGGACCTGGGACCTGTATTTATCGCGGTAGGTAGTGTACTCCTAGTAGGATTGAATAAGTTGGACGTTCTTATCCAATAGAGTCCCGCTCGAGAGAAGTATATTATTTGTAATATAATTGCATGACCAATGATACTATTGTTGACATAGAGTTCTTGTGGATGTAGGAATCCTGAATTGAGGTGTTTGAATCATATTAGAGTCCTTAGAAGGTAAGACTTCTTATGGGCTCGGATAAAGAGTTTGGTTGGAAGGGTAGTGCTCAATTACTTCACCCCGAGGACTTATGAATTTTGGGGAGAGAAATGGAGTCCTCGAGAAAAACATCCCGAAGACCATAAAACCCCGAGAACTAAACCTTCATAATGGAATCATAAGATTATGTAACGTCCTTGAGTGTTCTCTTGGCAATATCATGAACCAATGATTTAAAAAACAATTTTTGACAATTCAAAAAATGGATAGATGTGATGATGTCAACAAAGATTGTCATCCATAATTGTACAAATAAGAGTGTACATTTAGCATAATTGTACAAATAAGAGTGTACATATAGCATTATTAGTAAACAATTAATAAAAATATTATTACATACAATTAAAAGAAATTACAATAATACTATTTTTATATATAATTTACTTGAAATGACATATTTTATTAAGTCGATAAATATTAATATATAGAATTTCACCAGCAAGGAATTTATGTATGAGTTATCAGTCTAAAAACAGTGTAGCACTCATTAAAATTTTCAATTTTTTTACTTAAACATTGGATAAGAGAAAAAATCATCAAAATCTAAAATTAGATTCTCCTAAATTTCAAGTGATCATATTTTCAAAATTTTTAACCCTTACAAATTTGATTAAATATAGATTCCCACAAAATATTAATAATTTTTGAGATATTAATTTTATTGATTCTAGCCATTTCTATAATCTACATTCACTTAGTATTGTTACCTTTAATAGGGAGGAAAGACATTTTTTATTTTTTAATTAATTATGACTTTTAATCATTATAAGAAACCTCTTGAATGCATAGCCTCCGAATTTTTATTTTATTTTGAATATTGGTTTTAACGCAAAAATTATAGTTAAAAATTAATTATGTAAATAATTTAATTGCACAATCAAAAAGTTTAAGGTTTAGGTCACAACCCACAACTTTTTGTCCAAGTGTTTTGATATTTTAAAATTTCGTAGGATTTTTTTTTTTTTTGGGTCAATTACACATGGAAATTGAGTGCACCTCCAAACACGTTCGGGTATGCATAACAAATCAATTACTATTCCTTTATAAAGCAAAAAGATTTAAATTTTCATTCAATTCCATTACTTATTATAAATTATTACATTACTTATGATAAATTATTACAAAATAACTACATAACCCAACTAAGTACATGAGGGGTTAAGGAAATGAAGAGATAAACGACTAAATGCATGTAAATGACTTAATGAATTAATATGCATGTAAATGGCTTAATTAAATATGTTTAAAAAAAATTGGCCAAATAAGAATTTAATATGAAAGTAATTATGACTTTTATAACTAACAAAACCAATCAACCTTTCTCATTCTACCCCCATGCCATTATAGCTATAAAATAAACATTGCTCATTCTATTCTATGCTCAAAACAAAGGGATAAGAACTATTGTTAATAAAAGCAAATTTTCTAATACTAAAGTTTCTCAAAATCTATTTCTAAGTTGATGATAATGAACATTGAGAAGTTTTTTTTTTTATATTTTTTTTTATCATTTATCTTGATTTGCAGTTCAAATTGATTTCTAATATCGTGGATTTAATTGTATCACTAACCTTTTTAGTTTTGAATAATGGCAACATCACAGATGAATACATCACCGTCAAAATCACTAAAAGAACTTAGGTTTGATTCATCAATAGATCAACAAAATAAGTCAGGTCATCAATTTAATTTGAAAAATGTTAAACTTTTTCCGTTTTATTAATTGTTAATATATATTTTTGTTGTCATATCTTAAATTTGTTTTCATATTTGTAGGACCAATGTCACTAAACAAAAGTTGCGATAATATTTTTATAAGACAACTAATTGCCTTCGAAGAAGAGTGGATTATAAAAGTATCCATACTCCAAAAAGGTTCTATTGAGATATACAACAACAAAAATAGCCCTGTTGAAATTTTAAAACTAATTTTGTGTGATGAGATATTGTGTTATGTTAAAATGATGTTTCTTATTGAATTTACACTTTAGACTAATAGTTTTTTATTTTTATAATATTTTCAAGGTAGTAAGATTCAAGCAACGTTGTTAAATGACACAATCGAAAAATTCTTTCATATGCTTGAGAAATAAAAAACATACCGACTTCGAAATGGAAAAATAAGAACAATCAACCCCCAATACTTAAATGAGAATGATGAAATTGAACCCACTCTCACAATGAACACTAGGATAGAGGAAATTAAAGACTTCATTCCTTATAAGATGTCAACTTTATGTTAAGTGGAATTTTCAAAAATCTCAAACTATGTACATGAAGGGAAATTGCTAGGTACCATATCTTTATTCACGATTGGTGTGCATTCTACATTTAAATTTTAAACTAACTTATTCATTTTTCTCAGACATTGGAGGTGTGAGAATTAGTGTGAAGCCCATCTTTGTTATCAGAAATAAGGAACGTTATGTAGCTAAAAAACATGAACTTATACTCATCAACGACTGGTAAATTTAAATACATATTTGCTATCTTTAGAAGTATAAATAAATGCTCCTATTTTTTATTTTGTAGCCTTGAAACAATTAAACTATCTTTGTGGGGTGACTTGGCTGAGAACGAAGGACAACACCTTGAGGACAACGTTAAAAGCTTTACAATAATTGCTGCATTCGGTGTTAAAGCAAGCATCTACGAAGGTCTCCTTGAAATCATTGAATTGTATAGAAATTAGGATTTAATTGCAATAATATTACCCAAACCTTTTTTTGCAGATGAGGCCACTTTATCCACGACAAAGATCAGTTACATATTGACAAATCCGAATATGGATGAATCGAAAAAAAAAATAAGGGAAATGTATGCATTACTAAGCTTTATATAAATGTATTTTCTTACCTTTACATCTTTATTTAAATGGTTATTATAGCAATAACTTGCATTTATTTACGAGTAGGATTTCAAGTGTAACAAGTGAAAATGCCATTGAAACACTTCTATTGCCATCTAGACGAATAAAAGAAACAAAAATAGTAACACTAAACGACATAGTTGTGGGAAATGTTCAAGAGTCATTCTGCTCATTTATAGGAATTATTAAGAAAGTGCAAAACAAGAATAGCCCTTGGTTTGAGAATTGTAATTCCTACAATGCAATGGTCTATCCAATTGGTGATAAATCTACTGCTTTCTGTCATCAATGCAACATCGAGGATGTGTCATACATACGAAAATACCTTTTAAAGCTTATTGTCTCTAATGACTACACTGAAGCCGTAATCATTTTATTTGATGCTGCAGTGAACTTAGCTGGCCGTAGTGTTGTCGAATATGCAAAAGAAGTTTTTACGGTAGTTAACCAATTCTTACAAAATTTTCCAACTTCTATCAATATACCCTCCAATATATGTTTCTCTTCTAATGTTTTTGCCAGAAGAAAGAGAAAAGTGGATACTACAGAAAATTTGGTGCTGATTGAAGATAAAGAATACAATAGAAACCATTGATAGAACTTTAAGAGATATCTTGAACAATTCCGAACCATTTGGTGGAAAGGTTTTTGTATTTGGAGGAGTCTTTTATCAAGTGCTACATGTCGTCCCAAAAGCTACACGGCAACAAACAATTAACCAAAGTTTGGCTAGGTCGTATCTTTGGGAAAAAATGGAAAAGTTGCAACTGAATCAAAACATGCGTGCTCAGAATGACAAACAATTTGCACAATACTTGATCCAAATTGGTAATGGAACAGAACCTTATATAGAGGATGACTTCATCAACTTATCAAACGAGATAGCTATAGCATGTGAGGATGATGAAACTTCGGAATACACTTGATCAATGCAGTGTTCTCGAATTTAACAGAAAATGCAACTTCTTCTAATTATATGACAGAACATGGAATTCTTTCAACCAAAAATGAATATGTTGACTATCTCAATGACAAACTAATTGGGTTATTTCCCGGAGAAAGTGAAGAATTTGTTAACTTTGATGAAGCAATAGATGATACAAACCAATTTTATCAAGAAGAGTTCCTAAATACATTGTTGCCAAATGGTATTCCACCACATAAGTTAATCTTGAAAAGAAATTGTCCAATGATGCTTTTGAGGAATCTGGACCCATCAAACGGTCTTTACAATGAAACAAGAATGATTTGTCGTAATTTCAAGAAACATAATATTCATACAAAAATAATCGTTGGACAACATTCTGGAACAAGTCTTCCTTCCATGCTTCCCATTAACTCTAGCAAATGATGAATGATATCCATTCAAATTCAAGAGAAAACAATTTCCAATTCGTCTATACTTTGCAATGACAATTATCTTAATGACAAACATTGCCTACTGTTGAAATATATCTTCCTGAACATGTATTCTCTCATGGACATCCATATGTCACACTTTCTCGCGGAGTTTCAATGCAAACAATAAAAGTTATAGTAAAAGCAAAAAAAAGAAAAGAAGAAAAGATGTGGGACCTTTACAAAAAAATATTGTGTACAAAGAAGTATTATTGTAATCATATCATCACATTTTAGTTTATTCAACGTTTTCACATTTTATACATAATTTCATATAAACTTATAAATATTCAATTGTAATTTTCCCTTTAAGAAAATCAATTACCTCTATTATTTTAAAAAATGGTATTAGCAATTCAAAAATAGTGCATAAATCATTCATCGATACATAAGAGGTGCAACGCACGTGCTTACTACTAGTTAATATCAAAGGAACATAGAAGTTCGGTGAGATCATGAAATCGACGATGAATATCACCACAAATTGTCACGAGGCTTTTTACAAGCTGCACTACAGTAAAAGAAAATCAAGTAGAGCAAATAAGAAACATTTTTGATTGGGCACATGGTTAAGGTAGCAATTACTGATCTATAACTAAATAAATTTATATCATGAGAGCTCAGATGAAAACTACTCTACTTGAAAAGTAAAATTTTCTCCATTGAAGAGTAAGAAGTGTAGAGATGTTAAAGCAATACTGAAAAATTTTAGCAAAAAAAAAGTCATGAAAAAATTCAACTATGTGCCCTTCTTGACATTGTGTACTCACTTTCCCATAAAGTAAAATAAAAAGCCCTTACCCGCTTGTGAAGGATGACCTTCCTCTCAAAAACTAGAAAGAACCAAACAAGTGAAGACTATTTAATTTTAGAATCCCTATTAGCTGGCAGCAACCAGATCAAAGCATAAAATATAAAACACTCTAGTAGGGTATTTATTGTGTTTCAGGCCGGTATGTAAATTTTAATGCCCAAAGAAAATAGTAGTAAAAAGAAAATAGAAATTCATACCTAAACAGTACTTTCATCCATTAGTAACTCTTTAGTCTTTTCGCATAGACCCCCTAACCTACTAACACATAATAAAAAAATATTTTCAATCTGTAATACATTTTTCAATCGATTATATGATAAAGCAGATGTCAAATTATGGGAAATGAGGAAACCGATCTACTTGGCCAACATATTTGCTACTATTAAGTGACATGTCATGTGGCTTGTGATCTCTCACTTTAGCTAACAACATCAATCCAACACCACCAAACCACCTACAAACACTTCTCTCTTGGAATAAAGATGAATATGAAAATTTATTGTAGGAAATGAACGAGATGCTAATTTAAATCTAATGAATTTTCCTCCAAAAAGCAATATACAATACATTTTTTCCTTCTACCATAAACAATGTGTCTTCGTGTCATAAATAATACATGAGCATATTCATATGCAAACATAAGTATGGTAAAAATTTACAAAAGAACCAATCACACGGTATTTTGTAAGATTACATCAGGCAGAACTTTAAAATCTACCAAATTATGATTTAAGAAAGAGTCTTACTAACCATCTCAATTATTCGAAGTCACTTGTGACTAATAAGAATCACCCGATCTCATTGGATGCTTGTAATCTGAGACGTTTCTTACCATATACAAATAATTTCAAACTATAACTTAAGAAAATAAAGGCAAGAAAATTGCCTACAATAGCGTACCTCCTTCATGAAGGCGATTAAATAACTCTTTACCTTTGAGATTGTTTATATTTGTTTCATATGTACCCTCAGATACTCTCATCTTTGAGTAGGAAAGCACCAGCATAAGAAGCTTCTTGTTATCTACTCTCTACTAAATTTGCTAACAATTTTGGATCCTATTTTCTAATAGCTAGCGAACTCGCAGGAAGATGCCCCTGATGGTGTGCATTTGTATTAGTACAAAAATGGATCTATGTTTAAGTGCATTACCAAGCCAAGAGCTGAAAAGGGATATATAGAAGAAATGTTGGCAGATCGACTCTCTAGCTACCAAGAATACACGTAGAATTTATTTTACCTTCATCTTATGCCAGACAACCCTTCTATGAAAAAAAAAAAAAAACAAAAACAAGGATGAACTAAAATATAAGTTAATTGAATTCTGATGATGACTTTCAACAAAGAGTTAAGCTTTCAACTTATTAACATTTCTTTCACATGTATAAAATTTAAGTAAGTACTATTTGTAACATTTAAAGATAACATAGAACAACAAAATATCAGCTAATGTCTAAAATAATCTAATAATTCTCATCCTTTCTAAAAAATAATAGTGTAAGTGTGTAACACAATAATAGAACAGAAAATCTGATACAAATGAAGATACTTGGAAAGATTGAATTTCACGATGATGACCACTAAACCAACCTCAGCTTTGCATAAATTCAGCTTGAGGGATTATGAGCAATACATTTAATTATTAAAGTGTATCCATAAAACATTAAAAATTATATCAACTCCCATTTTTCATTGGAATCTGAGTCGGATTAATTTAAAACTAATAGAACCAGAGAATGTGTCCGCTGTTCTCATACACTAGTGTAAACATCATTAATAAATTCTTTCCCACCCCTCAGAAAATAGATCATCCCAACTTTTCACTACTAATTATTCTCCTAAACCTTGGGCATAGAGAAATATCACCTACCCATTGCCACACCTAATAAATTCTTTCCCACCCCTCAGAAAATAGATCATCCCAACTTTTCACTACTAATTATTCTCCTAAACCTTGGGCATAGAGAAATATCACCTACCCATTGCAACACCCAATAAATAAGTAAGAAAATAGGAAAACCTTATATTAGTGATGGCAATTTACCCCGCCCCGGTGTCGCCCCACCCCGAATAGGGCAAAAAAACTCGTCCAGTGAAGAAAAAGTAAAAAAAAAAAAAATTAAATATAATTTTATTTCTAAACAATTCATCCGTTAAAAACTCATTTTAAATTTGTATTTTATTATCTAATAATAACATAATTCGAAACTTTCAAAATGTAAAAAATAAAAAAAATAAAAATTAAACGGGGCAAAAAGTTGCCCTCCTAGCCCCGCCCCGTTGCCATCACTACCTTATATTTAGCAAACAACTCATAAGACCCCTCCCTCTCCTCTACAATTTTAACACTTTCCATGACCACAAATAAAAGCGTATCTATAAACCAACCTCAGTTTTGGGGGATTATGAGCAATACATTTAATTATTAAAGCGTATCTATAAAACATTAAAAAATATATCAACTCCCAATTTTCATTGGAATCTGAGTCGAATTAATTTAAAACTAATAGAACCAGAGAATGTGTCCACTGTTCTCATACACTAGTGTAAACATCATTATTAAATTCTTTCCCACCCCTCAGAAAATAGATCATCCCAACTTTTCACTACTAATTATTCTCCCAAACCTTGGGCATAGAGAAATATCAACTACCCATTGCCACACCCAATAAATAAGTAAGAAATTAGGAAAACCTTATATTTAGCAAACAACTGATAAGACCCCTCCCTCTCCTCTACAAGTTTAACACTTTCCATCACCACAAATAAAACACGAACAATTATATCCTCTGTTACCTTTTTGTGTGTGAGATAGATGTAAATTTCATTGTCGTCCTAAAATACCTATCTTCCAATGGAAGACAATCCTCATTCCCCAACACATTAATTTTACATGGACCATATAAGAAAAATATCCAATTTCATCATTTAAGCTCCCTGTGTTCCTTTTCGCAAATGTGAGGTTGAATAGCAATGTAGATGAAGCAAATGGAAGAAATTAAGTTGCATTCTTATATAAAATCCACCAAATTTTCTCATGTATATTTTGTACAAGACCAAATTCTTCATTAGTTAAAATAAGATTACAATAAAAACTTCATTTTGAACTTTTTCAATACTACTATTGCAAAAGTGCTCCTGTGTTTAAAAAAAAAAGGAGTTTAAGATTTAAGGTTTACCATAACCTCAACAATGAATTTTATTTTCAAATCTTGGTTTGTCTAAAAGCAAAATAGAGATTTACCCAATTTTTGATTACTTATAAGAATAGAAGATTAATAATTTTGAACAATTATACATAAACCCACACATTCATGTACATTAAACGTATGTATAACTATAATTCATAAAAGCTAACGGTTAAATAATCTTCAGGCCTAAATACAGTGAAAGCAACAACTGATGAAGACTCACATTCGGCCTCTTCAATCATGGCCCCATTAACCTCTTCGGCCTCAAACCCAGTTTCTGCGGGATTAGACCCATCAAAGGAGTTAGAGCAAACTTTCTGGATTGGTAAGGAATGTTAAAGGATTTGAAAGTGTGAGAAATGAAATGAAAATAAACTGACAACCCCTCAAAAGATGTCATTTTCAAATGTATCTTAAAAAAAAAAAAAAAACATGGTTGACGATAGGAAATTGCGACATGTGTCTAACATAAATAGTTCCCCAAATTATCCTTTTTTGCCCCCCGTTTGAGCTCCATTATTTGGAGATTATAATGTTTTGAATAGTGTTTTTTTGAAAAATGAGTGGTTAAAAATAAAAGAAAAGTTTAGTTTTTGGTTTATGTATAATATTATTTTATTAAAAATTGTGTGATTAAAAATAGGAGAGAGAAAATTTTAATTTAATTTAATGAGAAATAATTGAAGCCAAAAGGGGAAAAATTCTAGTGATTTTACAAATGTCCACTTCTGAATAATATTGCCAATATAGCCAATTTTAGGTATAAAAAGGGATACTTTTTAAAATAGGCAAATCGAAAAGCCAATTTTCCACTTCAGCCAAAAAAATTTGTCATTCACCACAATGGCGTTTTGTTGACTAAAAGACAAGAATACCCATAAGGAGTTCATAAAATTACAAAGATATGAATTTGTTTAAAAAGACAAGAATACCCTGAAATTACAAAGT